GGGTAGTCAGGTTCTGCTGTCATCGGGTAGTCAGGTTCTGCTGTCATCGGGTAGTCAGGTTCTGCTGTCATCGGGTAGTCAGGTTCTGCTGTCATCGGGTAGTCAGGTTCTGCTGTCATCGGGTAGTCAGGTTCTGCTGTCATCGGGTAGTCAGGTTCTGCTGTCATCGGGTAGTCAGGTTCTGCTGTCATCGAGTACTCAGGTTCTGCTGTCATCGGGTAGTCAGGTTCTGCTGTCATCGGGTAGTCAGGTTCTGCTGTCATCGGGTAGTCAGGTTCTGCTGTCATCGGGTAGTCAGGTTCTGCTGTCATCGAGTAGTCAGGTTCTGCTGTCATCGAGTAGTCAGGGACCCCACATGCGCTTCCCCCTCTCCCTCTTCGTCCTCTTCTCCCCACCCCCCACTTCCCTCTGCTCCCCACTCTGCTCTCCCCCTTCAGAACTTGAGTGAGCGGGGGTACGTGAAGCGCATGGCAGCGGGCACCTTCTCAGCGCAGAAGGGAGGCACAGCGGGCAAGTCAGTCAGTCAGAGAGAATCACATACTGTGTTCCCCGCTTTCCCACCCACCCTCGTCCTCCCCGCAGAACCTGAGTGAGCGGGGGTATGTGAAGTGCATGGCAGCAGACACCTTCTCAGCGCAGAAGCGGGGTACGGCGGGCAAGTCAGAGAGAGAGTCTCATGCCCGTCCCTGCCCTTCTTTCTCCGACCTTTTCTCCCTCTCCCGCTCTCCTTTTTCCCTCAGAACTTAGTGAGCGGGGATATGTGAAGCACATGGCAGCAGACACGTTGTCAGCTCAGAAGAGAGGCACGGCGGGCAAGGCAGTCATTTAGAGAGAATCACTTACGCCGCCCCTCCGCCCCGCTCCCATCCACCTCCCTTTGCCCCTTCAGAATCTGAGTGAGCGGGGGTATGTGAAGCGCATGGCTGCAGACACGTTCTCGGCACAGAAGAGGGGCACGGCGGGCAAGTCGGGAGGCAAGCTCAAGGCGGACGATGCGATGGCGCGCTTCGTGGTGTGCCGCACCCACGACACCGTGCTGTTCTTCAGGTGGGTGGTTGGGGTGTCCCTCCCTTTCTCTGTCCGTGTGTATGTCTGTGTGCTGATTGGGACAAGTCAGGTCACAAGCTCAAGGCGGACGATGCCATGGCGGGTTCTGTGGTGTGCCGCACGAATGACACCGTGCTGTTGTTTAGTTTGGCATTGGGTCGGTGGGTGGTCTGTCCGTGTGTCTCTTTGCACTGCTCTGAGGCAAGTCAGGTGGCAAGCTCAAGGCGGACGATGCCATGGCGCGCTTCGTGGTGTGCCGCACCCACGACACCGTGCTCTTCTTCAGGTGGGTGGGTGGGCGGCGAGTTGGGTGGGTGGGTTGGGGTGTGTGTCCCGCTGTCCCCCTCTTTCCCTGCCTCTGCTTGTATCGTATGAGGGTCGTGGTGTGCCGTACTCACAACACCATTCTCTTCTTCAGGTGGGTCTTGTTTCCCTCTGTCTGCCTGTTCCTTGTGTTGCTGCCAGCAGTGACCGAGGAGTGGCCTACACCATGGAAGCTCTGGGATGCCTTAAAGAAAAGAAAAGAAGAGAAAAGATGATGCATACGACCTCCGTTTTGTTGCTTTCTGTTCTTCTTATGTCCATTGTGTTGCTGTCTGTACTGCAGTGATCGAGGGGTGGCCTACACCATGAAGGGCTATCAGATTCCCGAGGGTTCCCGCACTGCCATTGGCTCACCCATCTCCCAGGCATGGCATCCCCCCCTCAACCCATCTTTCCTGTTACTCTTTCCTACTCCGTTTTCTGTTGTCTTAGTTGTCTTAGCATGTAGCATGCGTGGTGCCGTTCCAAGGCTGCTTTGTGAATGCCTTCGGGTAATTCAAAACACCTGCAACAGAATCCTGAAAAGAAATAGACTATCTTCAGTTTCTGATTCTCAGCACCTCCCCTTTCCCCCTCTTTCCCCCTCCCCCCATCAAATCTTGCCTCTGCAGGATTCAGAGCGAATCACGTCAATGCTGCCAGTGGGGTTTTTTTCAGAAGACACCTATCACATCAGAAGACACCTACCTCGTTCTAACAACCCCTGCCTTTCTTGCAGTTCCCCCAACCAACCACCTGCCCATCCCCTCTCTCTCCCCGAACACCTCCCTGTGCCCCCTCTTTTTTTGAGTCGACTCAAAACAGTTCCTAGTTTTGAGTCGACTCACAACAGTTCCCCCAACCAACCACCTGCCCATCCCCTCTCCCTCCCCGAACACCTCCCTGTGCCCCCTCTTTCCCCTTCTCCCCCAGCAGATCGTCCCCCTACAAGACTCAGAGCGCATCACATCGATGCTGCCAGTGGGGGATTTCTCAGAAGACGCTTATCTCGTCATGATGACGCGAGGGGGCTTCATCAAGCGCACTGCGCTGCATGCCTTCAGCGACACACGCAAGAGCGGCCTGATTGCCATTCAGCTGGTGGGTCTGTGGTGTGTGCGCATGCATGCATCACATGCATCACATGCATCACATGCATCACATGTCTGTACGTCTGTCTGTCCGTGCTTACTTATCATGACCCGAGGGGGATTCATCAAGCGCACTGCTCTACATGCATTCAGCGACACACGAAAGAGTGGCCTGATTGCCATTCAGCTGGTGAGTCCATCCGTCCTTGTCCATAGCCTATTGCCGTACGGTTGGAGTGGTGGTGAGTGTACACACCTGTGCGTGTCTGTCTCTCCATGCTTATCGTGACTTGAGGGGGATTCATCAAGCGCACTGCATGCGTTCAGTGACACAAGCAAGAGCGGTCTCCTCGCCATTCAGCTGGTACGCTGCGTGTGTATGCATGCATGCATGCAGATTTTTGAGACGTCTCAAAAATCTACGCTGCGTGTGTCTGCGTGTGTATGCATGCATGCATGCATCACATGTGGATCCGTCCGTCTGTCTGTCTCTCTCTCCGTCTGTCCGTCTCTCTATGCTTATCATGGCGAGGGGGATTTATCAATCGCACTGCTCTGCATGCGTTCAGTGACACACGAACGAGCGGGCTCATCGACATTCAGCTGGTGGATCTGTTAGTATGTACCTGTGTGTTGCCATCCAGCCGGTATGTTTGTGCCTTGACTACGTGTAAGTCAAACCGAAAGCCAGCGCGAGGGACTGGTCTCATCGCCATTCGTCAAGCATACTGCTCTGCATGCGTTCAGTGACACTCGGAAGAGTGGTTTCATCGCCATTCAGCTGGTGGGTTGTGTGTGTGTATGTGTGGTTCAAGGTGGATCAAGGTTGTAGCATCAGTTACACTAGCTTAAAAAAGATAGCCTATGACGAGACGAGCTAGCTCAACTTTCTTAGTCTCTGCCAGATGAGCTATGACGAGTTGCTATGAAGAGTTCTGTCAACCTTTGAGCCGAGTAGTCTCTGTCGACTCAGAAGACGTAGTCTCTGCCAGATGAGCAAAGACGAGTTCTGTCAACCTCTGAAAATCTCTGACTAGCTCTGGCGTGGAACGCACTTTACTGCGCTGCCTCCCGCACTCTCTCTGATAAAACCTCGCTGGATCCCTTTCCACCACATCTAACACCTCTCTGCCCTTCCCCATCCACGTGGCACCCATCCCTCCTAACGGCCGGCAGGGCGACGGCGATGAGCTGGCGTGGGTGCGGAGGGCGACAGCTGGCGACTCCCTATTGGTCGGCTCTCAGTTTGGCAACATCGTTCGCTTCGCGTGCGACGACGACCAGCTGAGGCAGAGCGGGCGCACGGCAAGGGGAGTGAGGGCCATGCGCCTGAGGGAGGGGGACATCGTCGCTGCCTTGGAGATCGTGCCATCTGTCGCCTCGTGAGTGCCAGCTGTCGCCTCGTGAATGCCAGCTGCCGCCTCGTGAGTGGCTGCCTTTGCTGGCCGTGCCTTTGGTTGCTCACGGCCTCAGTTCTGCTCCACCTGTCGAGGTGCCTCAGTCTCTTGGGGCGCCTCATGTATTGCCTCGGGCTACTCACGGCCCATTTCTTCTCCGCTTGTGTAAGTCCGTGCTTTAAATCGACTTTGCTTGCCACTCCCTTGCTTCCTTACACCAACCTTGCCTTGCTTCCTTCCCGCCCTTCCCCTCGTCACAGCGAGTCCAAGGACGGGGGCCCATGGGTGGTCATGGCCACTCGTAACGGGCTGGGTTAGAAAGCAATTGCGTCTGGCTGTGCTGTGCTGTGCTGTGCTGTGCGTATTCTAAGCTCTTCTTTCTTCCCGGCCTTCCCCTTCTTACAGCGAGTCCAAGGACGGGGGCCCATGGGTGGTCATGGCCACTCGCAACGGGATGGGCAAGCGTGTTCCCACGAACCAGTTTGCCAACCAGCGGAGGGGGGGCGTGGGAGTGAAGGGCATCAAGGTGAGTGGATGAGAAAGGGTGAGTGTGGTTTTGATTGGGGGAGTGGGTGCGTCGTGCTTGAAGGGGCGTCAGTGGGTTTGCGTTCGACTCATGTGTTCCCACGAACCAGTTTGCCAACCAGCGGAAGGGGGGCGTGGGAGTGAAGGGCATCAAGGTGAGTCTGGGGCGAAGGGAGTGCGGGAGGGGGTGGTTCATGTGTATGGGGGTGGTTCATGTGTATGGGGGTGGTTCATGTGTATGGGGGTGGTTCATGTGTATGGGGGTGGTTCATGTGTATGGGGGTGGTTCATGTGTATGGGGGTGGTTCATGTGTATGGGGGTGGTTCATGTGTATGGGGGTGGGACTTGGCAGTGTGGGGACAATGCCGTTTCCATGTGGTGATGGGAAAATGTGTCAACCAGCGGAGGGGGGGCGTGGGAGTCAAGGGCATCAAGGTGAGTGGATGGGGCAAGGTGGGTGTGGTTGGGGCAAGGTGGGTGTGGTTGGTATTGGTGGGGCCATGGGTGGGTCATAAATGTCAACACACATGGGAAGAGATGATTCGAATGCAAACCAGAGGCTACGGGTGTCAAGGCATTGAGGGCCCCATGCCCACCTGTGCTTCTGAGAATTCTCAAAAAGTACCACAAGCATTCTCCGCTGTCCCTCCCATACCTCACTGGTATGCCTCTCTGGGTGTAATGAGTCGTGTTTTGAGTATACATGACTCAAAACACGACTCCCATACTTCACTGGTACGGCTCACTGGTAGTACCTCCCATTCTCACCTGCAGCTGGCTCCGGTGGTCTTCTTTTGCAGCCCCTCACATGAAACCTTGCCCCAATACCGTTTTGAGACGTCTCAAAACTATGAAACCTTGCCCCAATACCGCCCAATACCGCCCACAACTCCCGCCCGCTCTCTTCCTCTCAATGTGTGCATGAACTGCGGTTGGGCCAGGGGGATGCATTGGTGGTGCTTTGCGCTCCTTATCCTGTGTGTGTACCAACAATGTCCCAACCATACCCCCCCTCCTCCCCCCACTTCCCCCCATCCCTCTCGTTGTGTGCATCACAAGCAGTTGGGCCAGGGGGATGCACTGGTGGCGCTGCGTCTGGTGGCGATTTGCACGTTATTCCGACCTGTACCCCCTTTCCCCTTCCCCCTTTCCCCTTGTACCCCCTTTCCCCTTGTACCCCCTTTCCCCTTGTACCCCCTTTCCCCTTGTACCCCCTTTCCCCTTGTACCCCCTTTCCCCTTGTACCCCCTTTCCCCTTGTACCCCCTTTCCCCTTGTACCCCCTTTCCCCTTGTACCCCCTTTCCCCTTGTACCCCCTCCCCCCTCCCCATTCTGCATCTCCTGCAGTTGGGCCAAGGGGATGCACTGGTGGCGCTACGTCTGGTGGGGGAGGGTACTGCTGACAGAGACGGTGAGAGGGAGAAGTGGTAGGAGCGTGGGAGGAGAGTGTGGGAGAGGGGACGAGAGGGCAGGAGATGGTATGATTGGATAGGAAAAGTTAATTCTGGTGGCACTGCGTCTAGTTGGGGAGGGCACTGCTGACAGAGACGGTGAGAGGGGGGAGTGGTAGGATGGGGGGAGGAGGGGGGGGTTGATGGGGTGAAAGGGCAGTGCTGCACTCGTGTCACTGCGTCTGGCAGAGGAGTGGAGAAAAGGGAGGATAGGATAAGGTTTGAAGGTGTTTGTGAGTGGAAAGAAGAGGGTGCTTGTGCTTCTGCAGCCTTCCTGGTCCCCCTACTTTCCCGCCTCTCTCACGCTCTCTCTTACATACCGAACGCCCTCTTCCTCCCGAAATCACGTTACCCTGCCCTCTCCCCTTTCTTACTCCCCAAATGCGCATTTCCCCTACCCCCTGTCTGCCTCGTCCATCTCACACGCACTCTCCTGTCTCCACCCACCCCCACCCCCTATCTCAATCCCACCAGCCACTGACACTACTACCGAGGCAGCTTGTATGGAGTACGGGGAATTACTGGTGGGCAGTGACGGGGGAGTCATCAACCGGCTGCGAGCGCGAGACGTCCCCATCCTCCATCCTCTCCTTCCCTGTCCACTCATCCCCATCCTCCATCCTCTCCCCCCCATCCTAGCAGCCACTGAATACACAATGGAGGCAGCCGCCGCTGCTGCTGCTATGGAGTACGGGGAGCAGTGACGGCGGCATAATCAACCGGCTGCGAGTGCGGGACAACCCCATCCTCTCCCGCACCACCCCCTTATTCCCCATCCCCTCATACAGCCACTGACGCCACTACTGAGGCAGCTTGTATGGAGTACGGAGAGCTCTTAGTGGGCAGTGACGGGGGCATCATCAACTGGCTGCGAGTAAAGGACATCCCCATCCTCTCATCCTCTCATCCTTTGCCCCACCAGGCGTTGACACTGCTACTGAGGCAGGTGCTGGAGGTGCTGCTATGGAGTATGGCGAACTGCTAGTGGGCAGCGACGGGGGCATCATCAACCGGCTGCGAGTGCGAGACATCCCCATCCTCTCCCGCACCACGCGGGGATGCCGCCTCATGCGCATTGCCTCAGGCGATAGCCTGGCATCGCTGTCGCTTGTGCCGGGAGCTGCTGAAGGGGAGTTGGAGGAGGATGGCGTGCCGTTAGTGGTGCCCGAGAGAGGGGTGAGCGATGAGGAGGAAGGGGGAGAGAGTGAGGAGAAGGTGGAGGGAGGGAGCAGGGTAAAGGCGAAGGTGGTACGGTAGCTAGGATGTGGGTGGAAGGTGGTTCATTGGATGAGGAAGAGGAAGGGGTGTTGCCTCATGCGCATAGCTGGGTAAAGGTGGAGGAAGGGAGCAAATTGAAGGCGAAGGTGGTGCGGTGGCTGGTATGTGGGTGGTGGGTGGTTGGATGGATTGGCAAATTGGAAAAGCAGCAAAGAGAACAAGCTTTGGGCCAGAGGGTTTAGCCACAGGCGACAATTTTGTACCTACCAGCAGATTCACACTTGTGAGCCTCCTTTTCTTGCAGTGTACCTACCAGCCCAGGACATGGTCTTGAGGTGGTCTAGAGGTACGGTATGCCATATGGCAATCCAAACGGGATATGGTGATTATACATCCATTGACTTTGCAAGCCGTATTGACTCTTCAATTGCAACGTATAGCATCCATTTAACACCAGCAGCACCCACCCAGTTTCTCGCATGTGAGTCACACTTCTCTTGATGGAACGCAACCACCCACCCACCCACCAGTTTTTGGCTTGCCCGATTTCTACGCCTGTGTTGCCAAGACAGCACACTAACCAGAGTGCAATTTAGTATGCGGCTCTTCTTTCGCTAAAACCTAAGATGCGAATGGATCATCCTCGTTTGCGGCCAAAATGGGGCATCAACTGTAGTCATTATCCATAGCGAGGATAACCCATGCAGTACTTTTCAACTGTAGTCTCCGGTGCAGCAGGGAAAAGGGAGGCGAGGACAGGTGTGCACAACAGTGCTGCAGGTGGGAGAAGTTGCCATGCAATAGGTCCTCCTGTTCATTCACTCACTCCTAGTCCTGCAAGGAAACAGCACAGAAAATCCCAACCGTTAGACAGAGATGTGGGGACAGAGGAAATCAGTGAAAGAGAGCAGAAGCAGAGCTCTGGTAGCAGCGGTGGGGGGGGGGAGGAAAGCTGCAGCATGCGGCCGTGCAATATGCAAGAGCGTCGGTGCAGGCACAGCCAGCCCTACCTACCAGCCCTACCTACCAGCCCTACCTACCAGCCCTACCTACCAGCCCTACCTACCAGCCCTACCTACCAGCCCTACCTACCAGCCCTACCTACCAGCCCTACCTACCAGCCCTACCTACCAGCCCTACCTACCAGCCCTACCTACCAGCCCTACCTACCAGCCCTACCTACCAGCCCTACCTACCAGCCCTACCTACCAGCACTGCTTACCTGCAATGCTTACGAGACCAGCCTACCAGGCTTGCTTACCAGCCCTACTTAGGGCGTATCCCTGGGTGGTTGCAGGGCCACTGTAGCAGGCACTGTTGGTGGCATGTGGGAAAACCGCATGCCACCAACATTCTGCCCAAGGCGCGCGCGACACGAACTTGGTGGCATTGAAATGACATTTTTGGGACATTGCCCAATCACGCACCTGTATTTGCGCGCCAGTTTCCTGACACCAACCTGACGTTTTATGTGTTCGTGGCAGGCTGCCATCTACAGTGGCCCTGCCACCACCCAGGGAGACGCCCTTACCTGAGCCACTACCTAAGCGTCTCAAAACACCTTTCATACCTGAGGCAGTTGATCGGACGACCCTGATGCACCAGCAGCGGCGGCAGCAGCAGATGGGACCGGGGCAGGGGCAGGCGCAACGGGCGCAGGCGCAAAAGGGGCAGGCGCAGCGGGAGCAGGGGCAGCGGAGGCGGCTCTAGCAGCAAGCGAGGCGGAGAATCGCGGCACGTGGCCGTCGAGAATGCGCGAGCATTCGGTGTAGGCGGAACCGACGCCGCAGCCGGCGCCAAAGGCAAGCGCCGCCCAGCGACTCGTGGGGCTCCCTGCGCGGCGAAGGAAGGGGGAAGTGTTGACGGAGGGGGAAGGGTGGAAGGAGGGGAAGGAAAGGAGGATGCGGAGAGGGAACGACTTGAGCATGCGCCAAAAGGCGAGAGCAGTTGGTGTAGGCGGAACGAACACCGCAGCCAGCGCCGAAGGCGAGAGCCGCCCAGCGACTCGTGGGGGACTCTGAGGGGTGGCGGGAGGGGAAAAGGAGGAGGGAGGGAAATGAAAGGGGAGATGGGTGGGAGGGCGGGGGGGGAAGGGGGAGGGGAACGGCGCGGGGGAGGGGAACGTAAGGGGGCATGCGTGTGGGGGGGAGGAATAGCTAGAGCGGTCAAGCGTCTCGTGGGGGTCCTTCAAAACAAGACGGATCACTCACTAAAGAGGACGAGGCCGGTGGCGGCGCCCGCGAGCGAGCTGTAGACGACTCGGCGGAGCGAGAGGTCGACGCAGAGGTCCCATTTGTCGTCCATCATCAGATCCTGCGCGCGCCGACTCGGAGCAGCCATGGCTGCCGATTCCGATTCCTTTTCGTCCTTTGTTTCTTTCTTCCTTCTTTTATTCGTTTCGCTTACTCTTCCTTCCCTCTCCTCGTTCTCCGTTCAACGGTTCCGCGACGGTGGTAACCTTCACGAAGCTCCTAGCTGTTCGCGACGGCTACACGGCGCCCCAAAAACCGGTACGCGAAGGCTTGTGATACAAGACTGGTGGTGGAAATTCGCTGGTACTACGGATTCGAGCGCAAAAAAAATCTGAGATTCGTGCGCAAATTAGGCTGTATTTGAGGGAATACGGACTCGCGGAAACCAGCAGCAGCTTCGGCGCAGCGTCTTGCGCGACGAAGATCGGGGCGCGACGGGGATGCCGCTGGTTAGAACGGCTTAGAAACTGGGCTGGCCAAAGCGACTGGCGGAATGCGGTGTCGGAAACTAGGGCAGGGAGGAAAACGCTTGGGGGAGGGGGGGAGGGGGAAGAGGGGAGGGGAGAAAGGGGAGGGTGGGGGAAGGATGGTTGGGGAAATTGGGGGTGTTTGTGAGGTGGGGGGAACGGTTGGGGAAACTGTTGGAGCAGCTGTGCGGGGACGTGGAGGGAAAGTGATTTATCAGTAGCATGACGATTCTTTTCCCTGTTTTCTGAGTTTTAGTGAAGGTTCTTATGGAGAGGATGAATTTCCGCGATGGTGAGAGGGACATTCAAGTTTTCGGTTTCGCTCAACCGTAATCGGAACCTATGTAACCGTGTAGAATTGCAATTCACCTTACTGAACCTGCGACAAACGCTAGTTTACAGCCTGAACAGATTAATCAGGCAAATGTAGATACAGCAACCTGCGACCTTGACAAATGTAAATCCAGGAAGCACAACTCCGCGCGCTGATCGTAGGTAATTAGCCGTGCCGATCGAACAACACCGACCAGCTCGTTGCATTCGCGATTCCTCCAACAATGAATTCCGTTACCATGCTGCGACTGCCCCAGCACCAAATTCAAACCCCTCATTGCCCTCGCACATTCGCGTCACAGCAACCACCTCGCGACCAGGTCGCATGTTCCCGACTAGCGCGTCGTCGGAATAATCGCATCAGCGTCGGATGGCAACCCTGCGACAGCACTCCCTTCAGGCTACGAGGGACCGATCAAATTCACCTTCCATGCTCGCCGCTTCGCCATCCCTGTTCCTTCTCCCCGCGTTTCCCGCTCATATCCTCACAGCACCATCCCACCTCCGATCCACCGCCACCCGCGGCGGCATCAGCGGCCGCAGCATTCCGCACCGCCGTGCGCCTTGGCCTGTTGCTACTGGGCGGCACAGCGGCATTCGCGGCGGTCGGCACCACTGTTGCATCTGCTGTCTTTGTCGCGTTGGCGTGCCATCGCGGGATGGATGGACGGCCAGGATCCGCTCCTCGCGACTGGGGGGCGCTGTTTGAAGGAGGAGGGGGCGGGGATGCAGGAAGTGGGGGAGGGGGAGGGGGAGGGGGAGGCGGAGGGGGAGGGGGAGGGAAAGGGGGAAGCGGAGGGATGGGGGGGAATAAACAAGGGGAAGCCGCTCTCTCAATTTTTGAGATGTCTCAAGAAGAGGTGGAAGATGCTGGGGGGAATGGTGGAAATAAATCAGGGAAAGGTGGCACTGTCCCCAAGGGGAAGGTTGCACCACCAGTGTACGTTATAATCCCAGCTCTGAACGAGGCATCAGCGCTTCCAATCACGCTGCGCCACCTGGCAAAGCTCTCCCCGCCGCCCGCCGGTGTTATAGTTGCCGACGGCGGCAGCACAGATGGCACGCCGCGATTGGCTGAATCTCTGGGCGCGATGGTGGTGGCTAGTGAGAGGGGCAGGTCGGTACAGATGAACACAGGCGCATGGAAGGCGGTGCAGCTGATGCAGGTGCAATGGGGGAAAGCAGAGGAACTTGCTCAAGGAGGTTCGAGCAGCACGAGTCGAAGCAGCGGTAGTCCCAGCAACGCAAGCAGCGGCATCCTTTGTTTTGTTCACGCTGACACGCTCGTACCATTGGATCTCGTCACACTTGCCAGGAAGACTCTGCGAGACCAGTCAGTGTGCTGTGGGGGGTTTGTGCCCGTGGTGGCTGTGCCTGGGCGAGTCTTCTGGGGAATGTGCCTCCGGAATGTGGCTAAGGCGTGGTATGTTCCTCTGCTTGCCCCTCCACGGTATGCACTGCGTGATGCTGATATGTCGGCCCATAAGAACACAAACAGCAGCAACGGTACCACCATCAACAGCAGCAGCACCAACAGTGGCAGCAGCAGCAGCAGCAGCACTGGTATTGGAACCATAGGTGGCGAGGTTAGTATGGGCCCATCATGGCTCAGTGGTGTTGCGGCATTCTTTCGGGGTATGCGAATGCTCTATGGAGACCAAGCCATGTTCTGCCGGGCACAAGACTTTGCTGGCATTGGAGGGTTTGATAAGAGGCTGGCTATTTTGGAAGATGCTGACCTGTCCGAAAGGCTTCATGTGGATGGCTGGCGGCGAAACTTGACAGTTAACAGAGATTCGCTGAGTGACATTGGAGTGTCTGATGGTGATGTCATGTTGAGGATCAAACGTGGCGGTAGGATGGTTATGCTTCCGCGCGTAGTGGTTACTAGTGGGAGGAGGTTTGAGCATATGGGTGCGTTTCAAGCCACCTTGGCTAACATTATTCTAGCGAGCGCATACATATTTAGAGTTCCACCTGATGTGCTTTACAGGCTGTATAAGAGATTGTATTGTGATGTGAGATAGTCGGCTGTATATTTGCTTCCGAAACATGTACACCCCTACAGTTTATCACAATTTGGTCCAAAGCGTGAATCTTCCTCACTGGATATTCCGGGCTGAAGCTTCAAACTCGACCAATCATGTCACGCCGCTCAGGCCACCGTCCAGGCAGAACAGAACGCCTAGTCACCACACGCGCCGAGACTCTGATTGGATCGAGGAAGAAAGGCGGCCAGGACTACCCTGAGAATCTCTTCCCGCCATACAGACAGGCGCAAATAGCGCGACGAGGCGGCAAAAATCTCTTGAAGCAAATTCCAGGGGAAAGAATCATAGCTGGCCTTCTTGTGAAGTTGCAAACACATTTCAGCTAACACAAGGTTCACAACTTCACCCATGAGCACCACATTCTGAACTACATCGTTTGACGTATCTCTGTCGTCAAGCAGTGAAGTAACATAAGTGTTTCCTCTCGTTCCCAAGTCGCGCTCGGTGTCTCTGATACATCGTCGCTGGAAGCGTAGAAAGTATCGGACAGGAGCTTTTTGGCTGGCCTGTCCTGCGCGATTTGCTGTTTTTGAGTCGACTCAAAGGTCGTTCGTGTTTGCGGATCGGCGCTCTGGCTACTTCGACCGTCGTGGCGGAAGCATCGTTGCCTTCGTCGTCTGAGGACTCGTCGCCTGCGGCGTCGATGGTGCCGCAAGGTGCCGCGAAAATGAACTCTTTCGAGATCGAGGATAGTCCGTACAACAACGACAAGCGGCGGCGGTCCAACAGCCTCTTCGTGGTCAGTGGCCGTGCCCCTCGCTCCTCGCCCCTTGCTTCCTGCCTCTCGATCCTTGCCCCTTGCTCCATTTCTTTTGCTTCGCTTGAGTCTTTTAAATGAACTCTTTCGAGGTTGAGGACAGTCTCTACAACAACGACAAGCGGCGACGATCAAACAGCCTCTTCGTGATCAGCAGAAGCGCTGCTTGCTCCTTTCCTCTTATTCCTTTCCCCTCGCGCATTGAACCTCGCTTTATTTCTTAGCTTCAAATGAACTCTTTCGAGGACGAGGACAGTCCCTACAACAACGACAAGCGGCGGCGGTCCAACAGCCTCTTCGTGGTCAGTCCGTGCAACTCTTAAGTTATCAAGGTCTTCTCAAAACCTAAAACTCAGTCGTGCTCCCTGTTCCTTAAGCGCCCTTGCGTTACTTTGTGCTTTTCGTTCGCAAGATTCGTGTTCGTAACGCCGGTTCTTAACCAATACACGAACATAAAGAAACGAAACAGGCGGCTAACATAAAAACGAACAGAAAATCTTGTATCGTTCTGCTGCTGGTCGTCTTGCAGCAACTTTGAGTCGAGACCAGTATAGCTCAAACGTCGCCGGCGACTTTTGAGGCGCCTCAAGAGTCGTCTTAAGCTCCTGGAATCTTTGTCTTATTTCGCTCAAACGGCGCCGGCGGCGAGACCTTCGCCCCAAGTCTAGTCGCGGTGAGGAGAGAAGCCAAGTTGGGGATGAAACTCCAGTTTCGAACGAACACGGCATTTCTCTCATACCAAACGAACGCCACATTCCACTCATACCTTGTCTAGGCGCCTAAAACATCGATACCATGCCTAAACAATTTATTCCACTCATACCTTGTCTAGGCGCCTAAAACATCGATACCATGCCTAAACAATTTATTCCACTCATACCTTGTCTAGGCGCCTAAAACATCGATACCATGCCTAAACAATTTATTCCACTCATACCTTTGCCAGGCGCCTCAAATATCCAATGGTTGTGCGAAGCCATGCTCGACATAAACGAACGGACGCGCCGTCCCACCCACACACACCGGCTGCGAACAGCCGCGTGTAGTCGCACCCCTCCCTGTAGCGTTTGCCGCGCGTTTGCCTCAAACTGCCCGCCGCCACGCCCACCCCCCCACCCAACCCCTTCTTATTTCTCCTTTTTTACTTCCCCCCAACCTTGCCTTCCCTCCACTTCTCCCTGCCTGGAACCTGTGGCATCCGCCAGCACTCCGTGCAGAGTGTGCGGCTTCTTTTCCCTCAACTGTCCCTTTCCGCCACCCCTCCCCCTTCCCCCCTCCTCCTGCCCCGCGGCTGGCCCATCCAACTCTCCCCCTCACCGCCCCTCTCGGTCCCCCACACCCCTGCGTTCCTTGCATTGCCTGCAGCGAGCAAGTGCGTACCTGCAGCAGTCGCCAGCTCTTGAATTTGCCGCCTCTCCTTCAACCCTCCCCCTCTTGAGTTGACTTAAAACTCATCCCCCCAACCGTCCCCCACACCCTTCCCCAACACCCTTCCCTCTCTTCCCCTTGCCGTTACCTGCAGCGTGCGAGTGTGTACCTGCAGCAGTCGCCAGCTCTTCAGTTCGCCGCCTTTCTCTGCACACTCCTTTTCCTCTGGGGCATCACCTTTGCGCTCTCCCCCAACCGCCTGTTCCTGCCGAACCTTCTGCAGCTGCCGTACCTGCCGTAGCCGTACCTGCCGTAGCCGTACCTGCCGTAGCCGTACCTGGTGTAGCCGTACCTTCTGCAGCTGCCGTACCTGGTACAGCTGCTGCGCATGCTGCACACAGACGGCTGGGAACTTTGGAAGCATCACGTTTGCACTCTCACCCAGCCGCTCCTAGCCATAGCTGCTGGTCCTGCCATGCCTTTGCACGCTCCTAGCCATAGCTGCTGGTCCTGCCATGCCTTTGCACGCTCCTCAGCCGCAGCGGGGGCATGATATTCACACTCTCACCCAGCCGCAGCGGGGGCATGATATTCACACTCTCACCCAGCCGCTCCTTGCTGTAACCGCCGTACCTGCAGTAGCTGCCTTAGCTGCTGAAAGCGGGTGGCTGAGGTTTGATTAGAAGGATAAGCCATGCTGGGGGATGAAGTAGGATGTGTTTTTTTGCAGGGGTGGGAGGAGGGTGGGTTTAGCGGGTTGGGGGTGGAGGTGTTAGGAGTTTGTTTTTAAAGCCCAAGGTCAGCATGGTTTTTGTGAAAATCGAGGAATGGTTTTAAGGGTGACATGTATGGATGGGCAGCGGATATAAAACCCAAACATGGAAGAGCTACTGTAGCAAGAGGCCCTGCTGGGAGCTTCCGGTATGTCATTTTCCTTACTTCGCGCCCCTGCTTACCGCGTACATGACCATTCCCACCATCAGCACCCAACAGTGAAACGTTACCCGCTCGCGACACTCCCCTCGACCACGACTCCCGCCACTGTTCACGATGCGACCCAACCTAACGGTTCGGTTGGTAACCCGCGCTCCGGACCTCTGCCTCGACATTTCCCAACCTTGGCGCTAGGCCCGTAGCGCACCCCATTTTCTCGTGTTACCATTACTACGCTAACTTCGCTATATACTCTTCGCTCATGCCTTCGCTTATTGTATTGTTTTGTTCGATAGTGCAATTCTCGCTCGCTCGCCCAATTGCACTCGTAACACTTGGTACCGTATTACCCCGGATAGTAGCGCATATGCGCTTATAATAAATTCAGTTTTTTTAAGGGGGGCGCTTGTAATTGAATATCGGCCATAAGCGCCGGCGCTTATATAATGACAAATACAGAAATACAACTTAAACGCACCAAATTTTGC